GTCTGGTGAATAAGCCGCATGAGGTAACACTTCCCAGCGAAGTGCTTTTAACGTTTCCTTGACAGATTTTGTGACGTGAGGCCGAGCGTCGTCATGAAGCAAAATTACTTTATGCTGTCTTGTTTCATATTCTACTCGTTTTTGTGCAATACTCGGCTCAAACAGATCATTTGTTCTCTGTAGAGATCCCCTGTGACTATTTGACCACTTTTCAACAGCTCATGGTACAGCACACCCTTCTAATCCAACCACATACAGAGCATTGCCTTCTTTCCGTGGATATTTCGTTTTGGCGTCGATGTTGAGGGTTGGCCGGGATCGCAAATAGTTTTTCGACGTTTAGCATTGTCAAAATAAATCCATTTATCCCCAGTGATGATACGTTGTAAAAACCCCTTTCTTTGTTACTTAGCAAGTAAAATTTCGCAGGTGGTTTTTTGCCTTTCAATGTCTCTTGGCTTCAGTTCATATGAAACCCATTTTCCTTCCTTGTAAACCTTTCCTAAGGCTTTCAAACGATCGGAAATGACAGATTGAGCACAATTTAATGCTTCTGCAAGTTGCTTTTGCATCTGACATGGGTCTTCGTCCACCAATGCCTGCAATTTTTCATCTTCGAATACTCTTGGCCGTCCAGAACGCTCTTTGTCCTCTACATCAAAATCACCAATTTTAAAGCGTCGAACCTATTCTCTGCATGTTTTATCAGAAGGAGCATTATCACCATAAACTTTTACAAGCATTCGATAAGCTTCAGCTGCAGTTTTCTTCCAATTGAAGCAAAATATTAACACTTCGCGCAAATGACGCTTATTTGGCTCAAATTTCGACATTTTCGATGCAGTGAAAAATAATGTTATTGATACAAACGTATACTTTTATGTACTGAATGTTATGTTATATGACAGATGTCAAAACAAACTATTAAGCTTCGTTTAGACATTAGAGGTTAACGATAGTTCTAGCTATAGCTACTTGTCGCTAAACGGACGGAACTTTCCGATTTACTTAATATATTATAATTTAAACTAAAGTAAGTTACAGATATCTTCTAAATGTGCCGAGTTTTATCTAGCAATGTCTGCAATACTGACATCGACAATTTTCGTGATTCCTCCGGATGCCATCAATTACTGATACCGAAAATACCGACTTTGGAACAATCAAACTAGTATTTGCACGTGTTATAAGATACAACTCTTTCGGCAAGAGCGGAAAAAATCGATTCACATGCTTCAGTAGTATTTTCTTCTTGTTGGAACTCGTATCGAATGCAATGTCGAATCGTCAGCGATCGTTCACTATAGTTTTTTGAGATTTCTGATTATTTCTACCTTATGTCGTACGATATTTAGAATACTTGAACCTTTTGCACTCGGATGTCCCTTCTGAGGAGATATCGTAAGTCTAGCAAATCACTCGGATGTCTCCTTTCAGAGAATATAAAGACTTTATTAATAATTATACAGGATAAACTTATGTGAGCGCAAATGTTTCAAAAATGCATGTTTCTTTGAAGTTTTCATTCAAATGTCACGAGAAACTAAATTAAAATATGGTATGTATACTGAGATATAAATAAAAAAATATCTGCGGGTATTACGTAGAAAAAGAACAGACTTGACACTATGCCGTCTGGTGACACCACGTTGGTGTCATGTGAAAATTTCGGACAAATGCCGGTCCACTACGTTGATGTCGCATGCAAAGCTATCGAACAAATGCCGGTGACACCACGTTGGTGTCGCGGCGTGTAAAGCTATCGAACAAATGCCGAGATATTGAGATATTGATATTAAATATTGATATTGAGATTAGTAAAATAAGACGTTTTACGATCTCTTAGAAAACGCCGGCGACAGGTGCACAGTGGTCAAAAAGGCTCTCTCGGTGGACAAATTAGTCTGGACCGCGTAATTATTAACCGATTCTAATAATTTTTTTTAATTTGCTTGTTATGAATTGCTCTACAACTTTGTCGATTCACTTTTTTAAAGTAGAGCTTCAAGTCAAAATGGCGGACTCAAAATGGTTATCAAAATATAGAAACTATAAGAAATTATCTGAAGAAGCCCAGAAGGCATGGAATAAAGATTTTAAGATGTACCGTACAAGTCACAGCAGAAAATCTTCAAGAACCGATACAAACGAAGATATATTGCATTCCTTATTTTTTAATCGGATCCCTATATAACTAGTCTTCGACAAGTAAGGAAGGTTCATAAACCTTTTCACCCAGAGGCTGAAGAAATGTTGAAAGACCGTACGAATGTGCTACATTAAATTACACAAACACAAACAGCAGAGAGGATTTGGAATCTCTAAATACTGTGGGAGTGACGAACCATGGGGTCCTTATCTCTGCCTGTGCGACACACACACATACACACATTTTAATTTCTTGCCACTTCAGAAGATTTGAAATGTTTTAAGATTTTCTGATATCTTTATATTATCAGTGCATTCAGATTACGTTTTTGCTCACATATTAGTATATATTGTTTGTTAAAATATGTAAATTTCAAGCTGAATTTTGAAATTTACATATTTTTGCGAGCAATATGTACTAATGTGTGAGCAAAGACGTTATCTAAATGCACTGATAATATGAAGATATAAGAAAGTCGTAAAACATTTCTAATCGTTTTAAATCCTCTTAAGTGACAAGAAATTAAAATTATGACGTCAGATATGTAATTAGGAACTTTTAAAACACATATATTTTTTTTCCGATGCAAGAATATCTAATATCTTATAGTTTCTACATTTTGATAACCATTTTGAGTCCGCCATTTTGATTTGAAGCTTTACTTTAAAAAAGTGAATCGACAAAGTTGTACAGCAATTCATAACGAGTAAATTAAAAAAAAATATTAGAATCGGTTAACAAGTACGCGATCCAGGCTAATTTATCGACCGAGAGAGCCTTTTTGACTACTGTGAGGCGATAGGATCTACACTCAGAGGCAGATATGGTGTCCCTCGGCGATGTCGTATATGCCTGTAAAACAATCGAAAGCGATGACAGGCATATACGCATACGCATATGGACGTACTGTACAGCGCGAGAGAAGCGAAGGAGAAATGGTGGGAGACGTTCCGATGTTACATCCTTATCGCACGTCGCACGATCGAGAGAGAAAGCATTACCAAACATGGTACGATTAATGGTGTCCCCAATAGCTGTCTCACTCGCTCTACGCTTGAATGTAGGCAATATGAATGAGACAACTATAGAAACACCGCGCTGTCTCCATAGGTGTCTCGCTCGCTCTAATAGCCATGTATCGCGCTTTCCTCTTTTCTCCTTAGAAATGCCGATTAAGGAGGCAATTCTGTGTGTAGAAAAATAAGCTATTTCCGCGAATTTTTTTTTCGGAAACTAAGCAGACGATTGATTTCAAACTTGATAGAAATAATAATATATATTTTATTGATGAGAATGAATTTTTATAGCGTTATAAAAGAGAAAAGCGCGATACATGGCTATTGTAGCCATACAGCGAATGAGACACCTATAGAGATAGCGCGGTGCATATAAAAAATTAATATTTTTTATTTCGCTAGTTCACACGATAGATAGACATGTTCGAATATGTAATTAGATGCTGAAGTCGATCGATCGACTTTTTTATATGAAAAAAACTTTTTTCTCTGATTTTAGGAAATGCTATATAGCGTCTCGTTATTATTATTGTAATTTTTACTATTATTAAATATCTCCTAGTTTTTTTTTATATTTTCAATAGCGGAGCCTATATTTTAAGTAGCATTTTAAGGAGGATGTTGGATTTATTCTCCCTCCTTCTCGTAGTCTTTTCAAAAGTAAAGATATGTTGCGTCTAAAAAAAATGGCACAATTTGACATATCTTACGGCATAAAATAAATTTTTTCGTAAATTTTATGAAATATCGTTTTCTTGCAAATAAAATATTCTTAACGTAAAATCATCGATATTTATGACGATTTTTCAAATATAATTTTTAAATACCTTAAAATATTAAAAAAGTTGTTCGTTTTTTATTTCCTTAATTCAAACGAGTTAGCGGCAAGTTCGTAGATTAATTATTTTACTTGCGTTTTTGTCCCAGTCTACCGTGTAAAATGTAAAAGTTGAAAGAAGTTATGTGTACAAATAAACTGCATATATTTAAAGTAATACGTCTTTCTTCCTCGGTACTGTTGTAGCAAGCAGATTTAAAAATATGAAAGATACTTTTATGTAAAATTTGAGAAGAGTGAAGGACTCTAAACGTAGTGGAAAAGGCACTACAGATATTTATATTCCAAAGTGGCCCTTGTACAAACGCTTAAATAACTAAATACTTACTTAAATAAATACTAAAACTGGTATGTCAGTTTTAATACGCGCATAACATTTTCTTTATTATATTCATAAAACTTTATATATTACATATACTAAGTTTTTATTTCTCAGAGAAAAGTTTAAAATGCAATTAAATTTTATTTTAGTTTTAATAAGAACATGACAAATATTTTATTATTTACTAAGTTTAAAGTAATTACATATTTTATGTATAAATATTCATAAGAAAATATTTAAATATTATCTGAATCACAAATATGAACCTAATTAGTATATATCTAATAATTCTGCGTTTATATGTAGAGTATGTTATTTTAAGTTTCAGATGTTTTAGCATACAGATGTTTTAACGTTTTTGATATCTAGAGTATGTCATTTTTAATTTCAGATGTTTTAACATTTAGATTTTATGTTCAAACTTAGAAAAATTATTATAAAATATTTCCTTATATTATAATTGTTCTACAGTTATATTATATGTTTGTAGTAGAAATGATAAAATGTCTGTTGAAAAATATTAATATTGTTTATTTATAATTGTTATCTAAATATGTTATGCTCATAAAATACAAAGCTGGTAAAATACAAAGTGGATAAAAATTCTACAAAAATATATTTTATTTTACTGTCACTGAATTGGCCTGATCTTACCATGGTATTCTTCCAATGTTATTAAAATATTCACATCAATTTTCTCGCATTTCTATGGCAGCAGAAGTATGGAGTTGCCTCCTTGATGTTGTAATCTTAATAAACCTTGTCCTTGTTCATCTCGCCATTCTCTATATTGCAATTGACCTGTCATTTCATCTTCCATATCAATATATCCTGGTGAAGTATACATCATACGGCCTATACTGTGAGATCTCAACATGTTATGAAGACAACAAATCGCCAATACAATGCAACGAGTATCATCTGGGTCGTATCTCATTGGAGATCTGAATATATTAAATCTGCTGACCATGACTCCAAATGCATTTTCCACACATCGTCTCGCTCTAGATAATCTGCAACAATAATTAAATGTGGAATATATAAATACTGATATATAAAAAAAACACCTATTCCTTTACTTCTACTTACCTGTAATTATAAATTCTTCTCTCTTTTTTTCCTGTACATTGTTCCTTGGGATAAGGTATGAGCACATTTGTAGATAAAGAAAAAACCTTCATCTCCTATAATTACATAAGAAAAATCCTGCTCAGTACCTGGTAGGGGACTTGGTGGAGGGAATATTAATGTCGTTTTACTACAAATGATGTTTTAGAGCACATTTATTCCATATTCCTCTGTCAGATATTCGTCCATTTGTGCCTACATCGACAAATATAAATCGAAGTTGAGCATCCACAACCCCCAAAAGCACGATGCTGAACGTTTCTTTGTAAAAATATGAGGAATTCTTTATTAAAGTATGAGGAACTAGACTGAAGTGGAGGATCTATCCAAACATGTTTCCCATCCATGGCACCCAAGCAATTCGGAAAATTCCATCTTTCCATATAAACAATTACTTTCCAAGCCAATTCACTGTCAGGAAATTTAAGATGTGTTTCTTGCAAAACAGGAATGAGAGCATGACAAGTATCCTTTATGATCCAGATATAGTGCTTTGTCCCAAGACGGAAAGTATAAGATAGTGATTTTTTACTTCCGCCTACAACAGATAATATATAAAATTATTACATAATGAAAAATAAATCACAAAAAAATATATAACTTGCTTAAAATAGATATGCTCAACAACCTGTTGCCAAATGACGTAATGTTACAGCAAGTCTTTCTGCAGGGGAGATACTTTGTCGAAGATGAGTATCCTGTCTTTTAATTAATGGCTTCAATTTCTTTACAAGATCCTCAAACAAATCTGAAGACATATGAAGACATCTGACAAAATAAATACATAATATTAATTACTGAAAGTGATTAGAATTAACAAACTATAGTCAATTACATTCTTACGTTCTATTGATTATAACCTATACATAAAAAATATATCTACCTACCTGCAGTACTTGTCTGGATCTTCTAGTTATAATTCTAGAAAGAGGTATGAAAACAACCTTGTTGTGCTCTTTTAGCTATCCAGGATCTAACCCACATTTTTTTTTTTTAGGAAGAACCTTTTTCTCATATTGTGACTTTAACATCATTAGCATCACAATAATGCATATATTTTTCTTCTTTTCTATGTTCCATTTTTCTTCACTTCTGTTGCAAAAACCTATACATTGAAACGACAAAACGCAAACGCTTGCTCCCAACGGTCACTAGTGTGATTGACAAACATCTAATCGCAAGCGCAAACATAAACGCAGACGCAATCGTCAATCGCTAGACTTGTAGCAGAGGTCTCCTCGACGATTCGACGCATAGTTTTTTTCACTCACACCGACAACCAACGACAATTTTCGAATCGACTGCCCTGGGTTCTCAAAAATCAGCTCCTAAGCCCGTTGAATGATTTTGGGCATCCTGACAACGCGCTCCTTCGAGTGAGTTTTCCTTGCCGGTGTTGCAAAACCTTTGTTGGACTTCTCCGACTCGTTATACTTCGCGACGACATCATACATAGTCGATCTTGGGTACCCGAAGAATCGAATGATTTCTGTCGCTGAGCGCCCAGCGCGAACACTTTCGATAATCGCGGCTCTTCGATTATACTCCGTACTTGGTTTCAACATTGTGACTGTTTCGAGTTATGAATGTTTAGTACATGCGTCTAAAGCCCTAGATCAGAGCTTGGCAAAATGTGCACGCGACGGCCGATTTTCGACTATCTCCGCCCACCGCTATTCCCTTTACCTCGCCGCTCCGCGCGCTGGCAACAAGCCGCTCGAGTCTCAGGAACGTGTTTCCAATAGTTTTCCACGTTACCCATGAAGTACTATTATTAACGCGTTTTTTTTTAAGTGGTGTCCCCAGTAAGCCTAATCCACTGATAACTGTAACAACCCGTAACTAATTGAACAGAAGCGAAATAAAATATGTTAAATGAAGAATATTCAATTCGATTTTCGGCGTCTTTTATTGGTAAGAGTGGAAACGTCAATTTGGATATTGCATGTAGCGAACCGTATAAGACGTAAGGAAATCGTCGCTTAAAGAAAAACACTTCTCATTTTTTATAAACTTTCAAAAGTCAAATAAATTATTAAAAAATAACAACAATTTGGCAGTCTCTTTTCCTTCCTGAGGCATGCATCTTGTTCCACAAGAACTGAAAGATCTACTTGAATTCATTAGTGTCATTACTGAGGCCACGGTACGACTAAAAACTTGAGTGCAATAGGAAACCTTCATTTTTAAATTTTATTTGGCACTATATGGAAATCTGTTAATTTGTGCATTATTCGAAAATGACCATTACTGCGATCAATGAAATAAGCATCCTCTATATGTTCCCCACTTAGCTATTCGCGTTTTATTATCTGTTAACTTATATTTCAAATCTTTTGTAAGTAAATTTATTTCGAATACATTTTAAAAGATGTGGTGGATCAAAAAGCGGTATTATTTGTTGATTGTTAATAACAATAACATTCTTTATTAATGCTTTATTAATTATTTACTAATGCTTTGAATTAATAATAAGATTTCCTATAACTTTACTATTCGTTCCTCCTTGATCACATATTGACGCTATAATTATTAATCCTGCATCTTGACCTCGTGTAACAATTTCTTTGAAAGTACGAGCAATATCTATCCATGATGTAATGCCTTTACAAAAAGAAAATGCTACTGCTTGTTTCCATGGAATGCCAAATATGCTTTTGAACATCCAAACAAGAGCATGATCTGCAATTACAATTTTTCTGTCGTATCCGTTATCTACGTAAACCTTCAATAAGATCAGTGGCTGGATTATAAACTAATGAAGAGTCTAACTTAATCTCATCGAAAATTAGTATACAATATTTGTATTTGTCATCATCAAAAGTTTGCACGCGAGTTTTTATTTCCTCAAAAATATTATCATATATCCCTGGTTTTATTGGAATTTTTTGTAACAGTGTTCTTAAAGTTTCTTTGCAAGGCAAATAAAATATTTTTTCAAGAAATCTATACATTCGTGGGCTTTTTTATATAATGTAATAGCAAATATTTTGTCTTCAAGAGTATATGTTTTTTTATACTTATTTTTGTTTATATTCCTTAAGTAGCTTGTAAAAAATGTTTTGCAGGTTGTAGTAATTCATTGATAAAATGCAACGGTGAATTTTGCAGAAATCTGTTAGCTTCTTGTAAACGTAACGATAAATTATAATTTCTTCGTGCAGTGCGTATAATAGTCTTCTACGTGAAGCCACAAAATTATAAATTTGGCGTTCCTTAGGTTGGAGATCTACTGTCTTATTAACATTAAAACATCGTAACAGATTA